ATTCAGTATCTTGAACTGAAACCACCTCAGGCAATACAGATGATTTAATTAAATTCAATTTAGTTGAATTCACATCTAATAAAAAAAGATAAATAGCAATTACATTTCAACACATCATACACTGTCGCTCATAAAGTTGGAATATTTTTGTTTTACCCCAATTTACGGAATTATTTTAAAAATAATTTAAAAATAATAGATCTAGATAATAGTATACATTCTCAGATTTAATTGAATAATAATATGCCAATGCGTGTTTTCCGTGACTGCTAAAGCATGTGTATGCTACTATACTTATCAACGAGGGGACCTACGCCCTTAAGTCATAAATGACAGTAATGAGGATAAATGCCCCATAAAAGGGCACTAATATAGCACATCGACATGGTTTTGATCATGTGGCCTCACAGTTACGAGGCCATTGCTTTGTCACTGAACCATGACTGTACGCAGCGGGGGCTAGGGTAGGGGGCGGTTTCCATAAATTAAAAAAAAAAAAAAATGCAATAGATTTTCAATAATTTATTGCATTTTACCCGGTTCCCAACATAAAAAAATCCTCTGTGTGCCCATGCCTTGAGCTATAATGCATAGCCGTCCAGAGGATTTTTTTTTATGTTGGAGACCGGGGTAAAATGCAATAAATTATTGAAAATTTATTGCATTTTCTGAGTTTTTTTTTATTTATGGAAACTGCCCCCTACCCTAGCCCCCGCTGCGTACAGTCATGGTTCAGTGACAAAGCAATGGCCTCGTAACTGAGAGGCCCCAGGATCAAAACCGTGTCGATGTGCTATATTAGTGCCCTTTTGTGGGGCATTAATCCTCATTACTGTCATTTATGACTTAAGGGAGTAGGTCCCCTAGTTGATAAGCATAGTAGCATATACATGCTTTAGCAGTCACGGAAAACATACATTGGCATATTATTATTCAATTAAATCTGAGAATGTATACTATTATCTAGATCTATTATTTTTAAATTATTTTTGAAATAATTCCGTAAATTGGGGTAAAACAAAAATATTCCAACTTTATGAGCGACAGTGTACATCATCGGTGTCAGAATAAATTTATCATTATCTGTCTCCGACAAGAGGTGGCGCTACACCTTTTTAATCTACCAATTTTTTAAAACCATTAATTGATTTTTGCTCATGCAATCATTTTCAACTCTTAACGTCCATCAAACTTACCATATTAACTTATTCATTCATGTTTGGGTGAAATTCCCGAAATGTCAATATAAAATGGTCAGTTGTTTTAGAACATAACATTTTTTATTTAAACTTGTGTTTAACTGAAAATGCTAACCCCAACAAAATTAATACGCATTACACTTTGGCTCTAAAAATCTCTACACAAAATGATGAAATGTTCAATTACAGAATCCATATAACTAAGAAGATACACATTTCTGAGGTATGAAATCAAAATTCATTTGCTCATCCTCTTTTATACCATTTTAATAGTTCCTTTCCTTTCTCCTCTCTTGTTTTGTTTAATTCTTTTAATTATATCAAATAAGTAATACCAATGATTAAAATAAAGCCCAATTTATTGAGTTTATGAAATGCAAACAGTTGTAAAACATTGATGAATTAACATCATTTTCAATACACTTGTATATGCTAATTATATCAAACTTCTACTGTTACAGTACTTTCCACATAACCAACAGTCAACTACAGCCGTATCTTCAGCATAGTGGTATAATAAATAATAATAATAATAATAAGATATTTGTATACCGCAAATTGCAAACTGCCTCTACGCGGTTTAAAAGAAATTAGTTGATAAGTATTAAAGGAAACAGAATTTGCATTACAAATTATATCAATCCAATTAACATTACATCTTTGCAAATGAAAATAATACATGTACATAATTACAAATCACTTACACCCAAAATACAAATAGTTCAAAGATTAATAGTATCCTACGTTAATCTACACAAAATATAAGAGGCAAAAAGGTCGAAAGGACTATTCAGGAACAAGACTTAAAGAGATGTGTTTTTAGCATTGTTTTAAATGTACTTAAAGAGCTAGCATTGCGAATTTGCAAGGGGAGATTGTTCCAAAGAAATGCAGCTGCATACAGGGCGCATACAGACCGTACATAGAGCACACATGATAACAACTTCAACGAATGCACAACGTGTTGCTAGCGCGCTGGACGAATGGTCCACGCATGCACCGCGTTCTCAACAGAGGTGGTCACACGAAGACGACGCACGGCCCGCGCATTGGAAATCAGAAAAGGCCGTGTGCATAACTTTTGTCATGACTTTGGAAAAGCTAACGAGCTGACACCAAATGCATAGCGTGTTGCTAGCGCACTGAGCGCATACAGGGCGCATACAGGGCGCATACAGACCGTACACAGAGCGCACATGACAACAACTTCCACGAACAAACGCTTTAGCAAATTGCAAACATTTTCCGTGCATCTTTCCCTGCTGTTTTCCACAGTACCCCCATCATTCACAGGTGTTACAAATAGATATTTGATAAACATTCAACACAAATTGAAAATTACATAGTATAATTGAAAGTACATTACATACAGCTCATATGAAGAAAAAAATCAACATCATTATAGTTAAATGAATAAATTACGTGTTGAATATACATGAGAAAATAAACCCTTTAGCACTAAAACACCCATGAATTGGAGCCTATATACACGACAGACAAAAACCAAACAAACAAAAAACCATACACGTCATAGTCCACCTCTAAAAAAAAAATTAAAACAAAACATTTAGAGAGAAACAAAAAGTACAAATACAAACAAAAGAAAAGAAAAGAAAGAGCTTAATTACTAATTATCGTGTGTACGAATATCGATATCGCAAGCAGCGAAACTTGATGTCCCACCGAAAAACAAATTACTCTAGCTTGTCTTTGTGTCTCGGAGAACATTCTAGATGGAAATTTATGATGATGAGCTTTCCATAAGAGTAGGGTTTATCATAAACGTACGTTTATGGGTTTATTGAAGTTCCCGGTATATTGTTGATCATTTCAGACTTAATTGTCGCTCCATCGTAAATGTGAAGTCTATTCTACAGCGAATATCGAGTAAACACCCGGTACAAACACACTGTAAAAAAATAATAGTCGAAATAACTCAATAAAATTGAGGAAAAGAATTGCCTTATTTTTATTAAGTAAATATTACCTCCGGCATCTTAAGTAGAATTTACTTATTTTGCTGAATAAATTTTTACTCAGTTAAATCGAGTTACATTAACGTAAATAATTTAAGTATTGTAATCATTTTAGATAATTAAAAAAAAGCTATGATAGAATTACATATTGCAGCGCCAGATCGACGTTGCTCTAACCCTTATTGTTGAACGCTAAACAAGGTAGCAACAACTCCCATCTTTTAACGTCTTTTGGTATGACGCGGCCGGGGTTCGAACCCACGACCTCCCGGTTGTGAGGCGGACGCTCTTACTGACTGAGCCAACACTCCGGTATATATATACTTGATCGTAGCATCTTAAAAGGAAAATTGGTTGACAATTTCCTGAAATATCAAGTTTTGATTTGTTTTGAACTGGGTAACAATTAAAAATTGTCTTGTCTTTGCTTAGCCATGTTAAATGAATTAGTAAATGTTTTAAAGTCTTTAAATTTTCATTCAACCACAAAAAAAGAATTGTTTTATTTAAAAAAGAGTTTAATTTGGTCTTAATGAATATTCATAAATTATGTAAATATTTCTATTACGCACTGCATCGGTCCTTACTTTAAAAAGATAAGAATAATCAACATAAATTGTTTGAGTAATACGTATAATTTCTGATTTTGAGTTAAAATTACTAAATTAATACAAGCTGAAATTACTTAAAGTTCTTATGTATTTGATTTTACTTAAATATTCCACGTATGTTCTACTAAATTGAAAGTTTGAGTTAGCAAGACTTAAATTTAGTGCGTAAGTGGCAAAACTAATGTTTACAAGTAAATTCTACATGGAAAAAATACGTACAAATTACCAATGAACAAATTATTTTTTACAGCGCATATGGTATAAAATCTCCATGAAAAAAGGAGATTATTTAGCTTTAAAGATCTTGCTGTCACTTGTAATCGTGTAACCGTACGACAACACAACTATGGGGCTTTATTCAAATCATTTAGAATTTTAATCGACTCACCCTTATATATCACCCAAATATATTTCTTTAAATAAATGAATTAATTCATGAATATATATATATATATATATATAAATGAATACAAAAAAATAAATACAAAAATAAATCAATTTAATGATAACTCGTTAAATGAATAATACAAAAATAATACAAAATAAATAAATCAGTTTAATGATAACTCGTTAAATGAATAAAAAAGATTTGGTAACACAATAAATCAATTTAAGAATAACTCGTTATGAATCAAGTTTTGATACCAAGTACTTCGAATCTCATAGCCGCGTAATTAAGAAATTTTACAGGATGAAACCTGACGTACCGTGCGGTTACTGGCTCAGGAAACAGTGTGGTCACATATGTGTCAGAATCAAAATTTCCTGCATATGTCTGAAAAAGAACGAAAGCGATGGATGTTTATTTCTAATGATAATAATAATAATAATAATAATAATGATAATAATAATGATCTATAATGTTGGTATTAACAATGAAAAGCCTCATCAGTATCACTTCTGCTCTTCCCAAGTGCCCTGCAATTCCTATAAACCCCGAAAACTTCAAGGTACCCTTTTGCACCTAGGTGGAGAATGGCAAACGTTGATTAATGTTAGAGATATCATATCCAAGGCACATAAATAATTGATTTTGATTTCATTTTTTCATATTTCAAAAATACTTTTTTCAAATCCTTTAATTTTGCATAGGAAATTCATCCTTTTGGATGTGTAAACGTATGTAGATATGGTTAAAAAAAATCGCATGCAAAATTCAATAAGGACATTTTTTTTAAAGTAGTTTAAGTATACAAGTAATTAAAAGAACATGATTAAACAAGGAAGATGGTAGATTTAACCAAAACAAAATTGGCCTTATCTGGAAGTACGAAAATGACACTCACTTTGCGCACCCCGCAATGCTCTTCCAGAGCAAAGGTCCACTTGTTATCGTCTCTTGAGTAGGAGATTTGGAATGACGTAACCCTGTAGATAGATACGGCCTGATGTCCCTGTGTGATAACACCAGTTACCAAAGTATCCTCGCCGAGATCGACCTTTTGGTGATTTTAATGATGAAAAGAAGACAAAATATTAATATATCCGATGCCAGATTATCTTGCATTTGATAACAATAGTTCGGACAACCAATTATATAAATTATGTACCATTTAAACACAATTGCTTTCAATATGAGCAAAACGAAAGAGCTGGTCAGATTTGAATGATTGCGAAAGCGGGATTTTCGATTGACGGTACGCCTTTTAATGTTTATTAAGGATGGACCTCAAGAGGAAAATTTCGTTTTCGTTGAAGGTCGAGTCTGACCAGCCCTTATTTTTGTTTTTAATTGTCATAGCATGTATCCTAGTTTGTATCTTATAATATAATCATCAGCGTTGTTAGGAGTTCTGTCAAGGTGCTGCCTATCACGAAGAGAAGTTAGATTCTTGTGCATTCTAGCTGTACACAAATTATTTTTTGATATCATCTCAACGTGCATTTAGACATGCTAGAGCAAATTACCTTAACCCACGCTTTGTTGTCATTTTGGGCGGCAGCCCATGCACCGGCTCTGTTACGTCCACTAACGGCATTCAGCCTTCCATAGTAAGCTTTATACCTAAAACTTAATTTCGATGACGAGGTCAGACTAGAGTCTGGTATACGACTATCTTCCACACCAAGCCCCTTGCCGAGGACAGGAGTGCAACCAAATTCCGCATCGAGGTTCAGCGACGCTGCACACAAAAAAAGAAGAAAAAAGACGAAGACAACTAACTGATTTACTCGCAAGGCAAGGTTGTCCTTTTGATATATTTTGTCATGAATTTAATCCTGTAATCTACTTTGTCAACAAGTTATACAACGTATTAATAAGAATAAACGAGCAAAGAATACAAAACAAAACAACAACAACAACAACAACAAATGGAGAAGGAAACAAAAGGAGATTTTTGATCGGGGAATGGTACGAATCTTAGGAAACCAATAATTATAATGATTATGAAAATACAGCTATGTTGGTTTTTTGCGTGTTAATAAAAAACACCTGCCATATTGGTGGACAAGTGTTCCTGTATTTTCCTGTATTTCTTGAGCATTCATGTGACAGGATGCTCTTGTAAACACCTACCAGGGACTTGATAGAGAAGGACTGGAATCAAGCCGCTCTCCTTTGACCCCATGCTCCACGCCGCCGAAAAGTTATGCGCTAATCTGCAACTGCTGACCAGGTGGTGAGATAAAAGAGCGCATGAATTTCAGGATTTAGAATTCCTACATCAGAAAATGGTATCACAGCAACTGTTCGCTGTCCCTTTCAATGATTTCTCATCCATTGTTGAATGTGTAAAGAGTAGAACAAGCGAACACAAACTTGTGTAATTTCATCCTTTTTTCAACTTCAAAAATACAAAAAACACGCAAAAACACGCATTAGCAAACTTAATGTTATTGAAGATTGTAAATCATGGATCAAATAACGGGACATTAAAACATGCACAACTTAGCGCATCATTCTAAACTATTGAGTTTTTGTCAGGATGCAATTTTTCTTTTACCAACTCTGGCACACAAATTATAGGAAGGACGGAGTTCTAAATTTGGAAATGTGTTTGATGCACTATTCCCAATACAATCCCCCCAAAAAGTTTTTGATTTACACTGAAATTTTGCCGGTAATTTAATATTTTGTAATAAATGTAAAACTGGTGCCTGGCTTCCGAAAGTCCCCGCAGTGGAAGCGCGGTGTGGAGCATGGAACTTCAAAGCCAAGTGGAATGTTACACATCCCATTGTTACGCTTTAGAACTCATGAATGCGTTGAATAAATTACAAGAGTTTCGCCGGCTTGATTCCAGTCCTTCTCTATCAAGTCCCTGCACCTACAATATTCATGTTTTAACAGATAGGGGCCGACCTGTCCAAGCGTTCAGCCAGCGACATCTCGTTACCCAAACGAGAATTCTATATTGATGGAAAAGATAATTAGGCCTATTTATTCTTAAGAGTAGTACTTTTCGGCAATTGCCGATTAAATTAAATTAATCTTTGCATACGCGCTTGACGTAATGTGATCGAATTATCACCGTATTCGTTGAAATCTTAAAGAAATGAAACCCGACCACAACACGAAGGCACGGTTAAACATGTCGCACGCAGCGAAATTCGCTGGCCCACCTGGAAATGTCTTGAGCTTGCCTCCGCGCTCGGGGAGCATTCGGGTGAGGGAGATGTATGATGGATGGGTTTACCCATCGCACTTTATATACGACCTGACTACGAACCAATTTTGGAAGCATTTGCAACAACATTTGATAGGAACATTCACTAAATCTTATTGATCGAGGGTACGAATAGTCTTATGAATTATCAAATCTAATTTTGGAGGGATTTGAAACTTTCTTGAGGGAGGACAAGGTAAATCGGCTCTGACTCGTAGTGACGTCAGGTCAGTAGTGCGATTGTCTACTATTTTAGGCCGATTGGGTGTTTATTATGACTATTTCTATCATTATTCAGAACCTAAATTGGGAAGCTGATGTTTGTTTAGATTTCCATACTTTATATAATTGCCATTTCTTCGAAAATCGGATCGCAGGAGGATAGTGTATGCGGTGGGGCGGTTCTCCGGAAAATGATAGAGGATCAGTCTTAATAGTGCAGTCAATTATTTATGTGATTGATAACACCAAATGGTGTCATATTCCCCATGATAACGCATTGCATTGTGTCTTGAACAATTGTGTCAAGAACTGGCCATAATATCACAATATGATCGCTTCTTGTAGTATGATGAGGGCATTTTAAGAACAATGCAGTTCAGGGGACAATCCTACTATAATATTCTCCCACACTGACACACAAAGAGAGGGAAAGCTCGCAATCATGTTTTCATTTGCTTCAGCACCTACCAATCTACATGTATATACATATGTATAAGCCTTCTCTTTAAGTAGTCTATACTCTGCACTTACTTATGGCATCAGTTAGAGGTCCATACCCATATAGTTCCATCCTCAAAGCAGCATCATTGTGCTTGGTCTTTGGATAGATCCGGAAAGAGCGTCCAACTACCGGCCTAGCAAGCGTGTGAGTCACATGGCTACCACGGTCATAATTTCCTGGAAATGTCTAAAGTTAATGAGAAGGACGTTAAGTAATATTGCAAAGAAAACTCATTCGTAATGAAGATAATCGTTAGTTCATTAACCTATACGGCCTGTGAATTAATACAATGTTGACTACACACGTTGTTGTCAAGAAGGGCCAATTACGAATAACATGGCCATTTTTTGTTCTTCTTCTTTTTTCACATTTTTTTCAAGTCCATATCTGAGTATCCTGAACAGTATTGTGTAAAAAGAAGAAGATCAACCTGAGTTCCATCGCTAGGGGTCGGTCGAAGCCTCCCTATCAACATGACTTGCTTAACCAAGGTGTCATTTTCAGTTGAGAGTTCTTATTCTTTTTTCTAATTATTCTTTTTTTTTTGTAATCCTTATTGGGTTGATAATGATCCTCTGTTGTTTTGATATGCGTAGGCTTATATTATGTATATTGCTATTTTGACTTTTGTTCTGCCCATTATACAATGAGAAATGGGAGTTCCTGTTTTCTGATTTAATTTGTCTTTTCTTTATTGCCTACAAAAATAAATACGAATAATATCAAATACAACATTACAGTGGGACCTTGTTATTTGAAAACATTGGTATATGAATTTTAGTATATACTGTTTTTTATGTGTGGGTTTTTTTCTCAGCCATAGCACAACAAACCTGTATTATAGCAAGAAATGTTCCTTAATTTCATGGAGTTCTAACGAGGTTACACTGTTTATCTCTGAACACAAAGACCACTGATTAATTGTTTTTTTTTAATGTAATTGAGGAACCGCAGTTTTGCAATTACCTCAACTGATCTAGAGTATATATTCAAATACTCAGTCCAAGTCATGTCGTCAAAACTAGACGAAAAGGTGTATGACGTCACCCAGGTATCATAGCCATTTGCACCTTGAGTCGTTATGGCCGTTACGATATAACTTGACTCAAAATGGACCTGTATCCATGCGTATTGGTCTGAAGTGCTTGGAATCCAGCCTGTCTTAGAGTTCAGGCGACCAAAACGGCTGCAGTTCGTCCCGAAGCAGGATGATTCGGAGAAAGACGAATTGGGAAGAGCACCACTTTCAAGGCCGAGTGGTTGACCAGATATATTACACGGGTTCACTGTAGGAAATGAAGTAAAGATATAATAAAAGCATATTACAGAGTAAAACGACAGAGGACTGGAAGTGCAAATAAAACACGACAGTGAAAATTATATTTCGTACCCATAGCAAGTCATACAATCCGTCAGTATACGCGGTGTTGCAAAAA